GCAGACAGAGTTTCGGTAATTAACGAAACAAAAGAAAACGTTCTACCTGGCTAGGGGCAGGGCGACAAAACTATCATGGTAATTTAGTTTCTAATCTTAGCCCTAGGGGAAACAGCTTTCGGGAACAAGAGCTGACTACCCAGTCTACCAGGAAATAGAAGTTAAAAAATATCTAGAAAGAAGTAAAACTTAGAAAGACAGAGAGAAATAATTCTGCTATGCACTTTCCATCAGGTGTATTGAGATTTACTTATAAGTTTTACTGCCATATATGCTCACTGGTCACTAATCACATGCCAATATCATAGGTATAACTGATATCCTATGTCAGAGGCGATCTTCCAGATGGGCCTTTACAGGCCTCAGCCATGTAGCTATAGATGTTGGCTCCCAACACATAACTAACTCTATTTAGACTGGGATGGGATTGGCCTCTGGCCTTTTCATGCTTGCACGCAGGCTAGAATAATTGTGTAACACTGAAATCCCGCGCCTTTGGGAGGCTGAGGTGAATGGATTGCCTGAGCCCGCGGGTTCGAGACCCGCCTGGGCAGCAAGACCTCATCTCTACAATAAATCAAAAAATCAGCTGGGCGTGGCAGCGCATGCCTGTAATTCTGGCTACTTGGAAGGCTGAGGTGGAAGGATCGCTGGAGGCCAGCAGGTCAAGGCTGCAGTGGCTGGGAGCAGCCACTGCACTCCAGTCTGGGTGACAGAGTGAGACTCCAACTCAAAAAAAAAAAAAAGATAACATAGGAACAAGTACACAACTTTCAAGAGTAACTCCGGAAAAAAAGGAACTATGCACACACTATGTTTTGTTAAAGATGTAAAAGACACTGTAACCTGACCAAGGACAAAGAAGCTTCCCAACCTCTTTGGATCCTCAGATATCTGCGGCTCTAGGTCACTGTTGCTGTCGGTCACTTCTTGGTCCCATCCCCTCCTCTTCCTTCTGCCCCTTAACATAAAAAAAGCCTAAAATTTGTACTGACTTGAGATGGTCTTTGAGGCATTAGTCTGCTGTCTCCTCAGGTTGCTGGCTCTTAAATAAACCTCTTTTCCTTTCACTAACCCTTGTCTCTAGGGTTTAGCTTTTGTGCAAGGAGCAGTCCAACTTGGGGTTGGTTACAGTCTCTCTGAGTATCTGTGTTGCACTTGTGTGTTTGTATGTGGGTGTGTGGCCTGTGTTGTGTTTTTATCTATGGGGTTTGTGTGTGGAGCTATGTGTGTGTCTGTGACCTGTGTGTCTGTCATATATTTGTGTGATCTTTGTGTCTGTGGTCTGTGTATGTTTTTCTTCAGAATGTGTGTATGTGCAAGGTTTGCATGTGCTCTGTGTGTGTGCATGTTTGTATGTGGTCTTTTTGTGTATGTGCATATGAGAAACTGAGTACCTGAATTATAGGGGAGGTTTTTATTTTTTAATTGTGTGTCTGAGCTCTAGAAAGTAATGTAGGACTTGAGTAGAATCAAAGTAAAACTTAAACTTTGCTGATCTATGTTAGTGCATGTGAATATCACACAAAGTTTCCTGGGAACTCTAATTTACTGTACATAATCAGGAGATTCTTCAGCCTTAAACATCTTTTTAAATGGGTTAAAGTACTTGGGTATAAATTAATGGGGTGGAGCCCATGCACTGGCATCCCACAGACCTGGGTTGGATTCTACCTCTACCACTTACCAGCTCTTCAAGTTTAGACTCAACTCTTTAAGCCTTTTTCACCTTCTAAATTCCTGTGAGTTTTATGAGGACTGAATAAGATAATGTATATAAATTACTTAGCTCCCTTCAGGGCACATAGTATTTACTCAATAATTTTTTTTTTTTTTTTGAGTTGGAGTCTCACTCTGTCCCCAGCCTGGAGTGCAGTGGCCGCTCCCAGTCACCGCAGCCTCGACCTGCTGGGCTCCAGCGATCCTTCCACCTCAGCCTTCCAAGTAGCTGGAACTACAGGCGCACGCTACCACGCCCGGCTAATTTTTTGATTTATTGTAGAGATGAGGTCTCACCAATTTGTCCAGGCGGGTCACGAACCCGCAGGCTCAGGCAATCCACTCACCTTGGCCTCCCAAAGTGCTGGGATTACAGGCTGAGCCACCGAGCCCGGTCAATAATTTTTTTAACCAATTATTTTTCTCATCTTCCCATTAAGGCCAGTGAGAACCTTATTTTTTCCTTTTCATGCTTCAGGCTACATTTTTTCCCCCTTTCCCAAAAGGATCTATACTGAATTCTAGAGTACCTCCAGGGATTTCTGAAAAAAATCTAAATGTCTATCTATTCTGGCAGAGCTCTGTGATTTAATACCTTTGGTCCAAGCAGCTTTCAGGAAGACCCTACCTCCAAGAAGCACCAAACTACTGTGAGGAGACCATAGGAACCTCAGGAAACTGATCTAGGATAAACCTAAAGGGTTTATTCAGATGATAGCCCTAGGATAATAAACCTGCTAGTCCAGGGAATCTCACCTTGGAGCTATATCTTCAAGCCAGGTGGGTCTTGAGCAGGCCAAGGTAAGTCGACATCATCAGTCTTTTCTCCAGGAAAGGAGGTCAATATCAATGACACTTGGTCTTCATTGTATCTGCTTTTCTTCTAGCTGGTGCTACTTCCCAGACTGGAGCCTGCTATTTAAAATTTCTGCAAGGTTTTGTCCTCTTCTTAGTTCCTTTTTCTGTAGAATCTGCTATAGAGGTGGAGTTAGAGAGAGGAGTACTTCTTCAAATCATTTCTCCATTTTAAGGGAGGATTTTAAAAATCCTGTAAGCAAAGACATTTCTTCTAAGGTTAATAAGCTTGTTTCAGATGTTAAACCCTGATTTTAAAAAATTACCTTCTCTTATTTGGTCATACCACCAGGCACCCACTCTGCCTCAACTCTAGGGTGTTCATTAACATATGGACAGATGGTGTTGGGTATATAAGGAGGTGGAAAATATCAGGCATGGATGGACCAATGGAATCTAGGAATGAGCTACCTAATGTTGCTGGGCAGAAAATGGTTAGAAGGAAAAACTTAGCACTGAGTTTCACATTAAAATGGAATGTATGAGGACAAGCCAAGGTTGATATTATTTAGTTTGGAAAGGTGAAGATTGACAGGCAGAACTGTTGAGAATGGCTGGAAAAAACATAGAGTTGGTTACCACATCCTAGATGATGATCTCATTATAAGGAATACAACAACACAGGTCATGCATTTATGAACCATTACTGACCGAGATCGACATTTCCTATTTTCCTCTCTCTAATCCATCTCTGAAATTTTTTTGGATCTTACTCTGTGCTGACCTCAGTGTCCTCATTTCTTTCCTGTGAGTTTTCCTCGTCATCTCTTCATCACCTGTGGAGAAAATACATCAAAACCATTGTGCAGCTTCAGTGGCGAACAGCTTGGGAATCAAAATTACTACCCAGTCTGTGTTAGACTTAGAATTTTAAAGCTTTCATTGCTGGACTGTAGCCTTATTAAAAAGAGGCTTACATTTTCGTTCTTAATTCATTTGTGACTGTGATCTTCAACCTAAGAACTAATCTTTGCAGGTTAAGGATGAGTTTCAACCTTGCTACTGCATTTTAAAAGGCATTTCTTGGCAGATTTTCATACCCTTGGGGTTAATTCACAGATCTGGAAACAGCCTGAGATATTATTTGGTCCAAACCCACTAAATCTGAAGATTAGCAATCCAAGACACAGAGAGGTTAAGTGAATTACAACAGGTTTTCACTAAGAAAAAAGTCTCCTAAAAGGGACTCCTTCTTATGCTTCCTCGTCAATTAAAAAAGGAATTTGGTCAAAATTCTTCCTCTTTTCTTCCCACTCAGTGTTTTTTAATTCTATAATTGCTAAAATTTATAAGTAACAAATATATTAGGACTAGTGCTTAATTTCTACCCCCCACGAACATGCACTAAGACTAGTGCCACCGTTACATAGTCTAAATTTTTTTTTTTTTTTTTTTTGAGTTGGAGTCTGGCTCTGTTGCCCAGACTGGAGTGCAGTGGCCGCTCCCGGCCACCGCAGCCTCGACCTGCCGGGCTCCGGCGATCCTTCCGCCTCAGCCTTCCAAGTAGCCGGAATTACAGGCATGCGCTACCACGCCCGGCTAATTTTTTGATTTATTGTAGAGATGAGGTCTCGCTGCCCAGGCGGGTCTCGAACCCACAGGCTCAGGCAATCCACTCACCTCAGCCTCCCAAAGGCGCAGGATTACAGGCTGAGCCACTGAGCCCGGCTCTAAATTTTAATTATGCTGTAACTCTTCTCGAAATACTCTTATGAGTATTTTCCTCCCATAGGTAATTAAACCAATGCTATTAACTCTGTTAAGAAGTATACAAGCCAGTCTCGGTGGCTCAGCCTGTAATCCCGCGCCTTGGGAGGCTGAAGTGAGTGGATTGCCTGAGCCTGCGGGTTTGAGACCCACCTGGGCAACTTGGCGAGACCTCATCTCTACAATAAATCAAAAAT